TGAGTTGCCATAGCAACGAGCTACCATTTTATGTATTTTTAATGTCAGTATAATATTTACTATATGACTAAAGAAAAAGTTACTTTATATGTGTTGTTTTGAAATTTGAGGGTAGTTGCCCCTTAATATTATTTATGAAAACTTCTTCGTCTACTGTTATACATTTTTCTTCACAAAAGTTATGTAGAACAAAACAGGCATATATAACAGTGGGTATATTCTCTAGTTTGAGGTCAATTTTTTTCTTAAGTATTGTCCATCGTGCTTTAAGGCGACCAAAAGCACGTTCTATTTGATTTCTTGCAGTTCGAGGTATTGAAAACTACTTGATTGTTATTTTGGCACTGTAAATACTCTTTTAAGCAGAAAGTTGAAAGAGGATATGCTGAATCACCTATTACATAGCATGGAACTTTGCAAAAGCCTGGCAGCAATTCTCGATAAGTTGTAGGTATACTGTTCGAAATCATTCTTAAGTTAAATGTTGAATTAGAAAACACTTTAGCATCATGAAGTGATCCAGGCCATTTGCAGTCGACATCCATAAAAATACCTTGTGAGTCACAAATTGCTTGAACAGATAGAGTGAAATCCTTTGTAATTTAAGTAGTCTTGTGAAGATTCTAAAGGTCTTTGTATTGGAATATGAGTTCCATCAACAAAACCAAAAGCTTGAGGCATGTTAAATTTTGTTTCCATTTCTAAAATTTTGTTTTCTATTTGTTTTGTTTTTAAGAAGAAAAAGTATTTTTGGTCCAAGGTGATATGTAATGGCCTCACAAACTTCTAATACTACATTAGACACTGTGCATTGATGTATACCAAACGCATTAGCAGTCATCCATAGAGACCCCGTATCTTTTAAATAATATAAACAGCATGCAATTTTTCTTCAATGCTAAGTGCCCTATAGAATTGCTACTAGAATTGATTAAGGGTCGCAAGTAATTAGCTAGTTCCATCACATGTTCTTAAGACATCCGAAAATTTAGTTTTTAATTATTTTCAGTAGTAACATTGTTAAACAGATTAAACCAAAAAGTTTCGGCACTTCCTGGTTTAATCCATATGCTACGGGGCATTCGCCTTGAACGTTTTTCCACAGCATTACTAATTCCTTGTAAGAAATAACTTCTTTAGCGTAAGGAGGTTACAAAAATGTTAAATCGTCTTTGTTTTATTAATTATGCAAGAGTAAGATCTATCTGCTGTAGATTAAGTGAAACAATCATTGTATTTAATATCTTTAGCGATTTTTCGGCCGTATTTTATTTATACTTTAAGCGAAATACAGGAATTTTTTTACTGGAGGGAAGTTTTTATCTCAGCAAAGCGGGACAAATTTCTTTATGTAACCAGGCCCTTAACATGAGTTCCCACTAGTTCGTTTTTCACGGGAACGGGAAAAATAATCACATAAGCATGTGTTTTAATTAATTTAAAATAAGTTTTTTAATAATTTAATTAATTTAATAAGTTTTAATTTGTCAGAAAACTGTGATTATTTTTCCCTTTCCTTCCCGTTCCCGTAGAAAAACGGATGAGAACACACCTTTAGACAAAACTTTTCGTTGCATACCATAGCGTTCTCTACTACAGGCCTATTCATCGCGCAACCGGATTTTTTTGTGGAGGCCTACTTTTTTTTCCACGTTCAGACAAGATACAATGTCATGTCGTTTATGACAAACATTTAAATAATGGAATATAATACAATGTTAATAAACTTATATAATTTAAACATGGAGTTGCAGATATAATTTAAAGCAAATAATATATTTATAAAGTTTAGATTAAATCATCATGCCAAATAAATGTTGTGTGTATGCTTGTCACACCAACTATCAAAGTGAAAAAAACAAAATATCTAGTGAAGTTAATAAAATATCATTGTATCGGTTTCCAAGTGATAACGTTGAACGTGAAAAATGGATAAAAGCTATTCCAAACTCTAATTTGGTTGTTACCAAGTATACTGTTATCTGTGAGTTACACTGGCCTCCAAATTTTGATACAGTTATAGTGCGTGGAGCAAAACGTCGACCAAAAAATCCTCCTTCTGTTTGGCTAGGAATACCTTTATCTCAAATTCCAACTGGTTATCCAACTGAAAGATCTACCAAAAGATCTTTAAGTGGCATTAGAAGTATAATAGATGATGAGCTAGATACATTTCTTAAAAGGGATAAAGCTACTTTTTGTGACATTAAAAACAAGTTTATTGATAGCAGTGATCACCAATATCCAGTTATATCGTTTATGGTTGATGGCTATGTTGTTATACAATCTTTGCAATTTTTTAATGGAATACCTTTTTTTGTACTTAAAATTTATGAAAATCTTACCTTTGAAACATTTCATTATGGGATTAAGTGTCACATTTCTAGCTTAACAGTAAATCGAATCTTAACTGTTGACTCCTGGTCTAAGTTTGATGAGATACTTCGTTTTTTAGGCTCTTTGAAAATTGATCATAAAAAAGAAGTAATTATGCAACATGTTTCAGTTATGGGACCAAAATTAGTTGGAGATAAACTTTATACACCTGAAATACTTATACGCTCTTTTGTATATTTCTTAACATCAAGGGCATTATATAATCGCTTAAGAAATGATTATCAACTTCCATCTATTTCAACACTGACTCGAATTACTTCAAAAATTTCTAATATTAATGAAAACAAATTTATTTATTCAATTTTTAACTCTCTTCCGGATAAGCAGAAATTATGTATCATACTATATGATGAAATATATGTTAAAAAAGGTTTGCTTTACCATGGTGGAACTATTTTTGGTAGATCGGAGGATAACCCAGTGGAATTGTCCAAAACATTGTTAGGGATTATGGCTGTTTGTTTAAATGGGGGTCCAAAGGTGTTAATTAAAATGATACCAATATCAAAATTACGATCTGAATTTTTGTTTGAACAGATTAATTTAACTAGTCAAATAATTGATTCAGTCAGTACAAATGTAAAAGCTATTATATGTGATTGGAATCGTGTCAATCAGGCTTTTTTTAAAATGTACACATTCATTCCGGGAAAACCATGGTTAACAGTAGATGGAAAGTATTTACTTTATGATTTTGTACACCTCATAAAAAATATTTGTAATCTTTGGTTAACTGAAAAAACTCAGGAATTAATATTTGACGATAACGGAGTAACCAGGATTGCAAAATGGACTCATTTAAAGCAGCTTTACAATGCAGAATCCAGAAGCTTTCTAAAGTTATCTGACCTGAATGAAACTTCTATTTCTCCTAAACCTGTTGAACGACAGTGTGTATTAACAGTTTTAAGAGTATTTTCAAAAAAAACTTATGCTGCTCTTTTGCAACATCCTGAAATGATTCATATTGATGTTAACGACACTGCTATATTTATTAATAAAGTTATTATTTGGTGGAAAGTTTTAAATGTCAAAGCCATTGGTGCTGATACAAGGCATAATGATCCTTTGCAGGCTGTCATCAACAATCCTAATGACAATCGTTTAAATTTAATACTACAATTTGGTGATATGGCACTTAAAATGGCAGGTCCCAAAGGTAAGCGTATTAAACAGCTTTCTAAAGATACTGCAACTTGTATACATCAAACTTGTTATGGACTAGTAGATTTATGTAGATATTTACTTAACACTACGCAAAACTATGTACTTCTTGGTCAATTTACTTCAGATCACCTGGAAAAAGAATATAGTATACTTCGTCAAGGTTCTGGTGGTACATATTTTCTTAGTGTTCAACAAGTTATTGAAAAATTACGTATCAAACATGCATCTTTACTTTTGAAGTTAAATGTAGATATTGACAATTTTAATGTGAAGTCTGGTCATCAATGTGCGTTATGTGATTACAAATTGTCTGAAGACTGCTGCGAAATTCTTGATAACTTGCAAGATCTAGAATCTTCTATTGCTGATGATGTTAAAATGTCACTTATTCACATTGCTGGTTATGTTACACGAAATGATAAAGAACAAACTGATTATGAACTTTTAGATCAAACAACGTTCTATTATCAGAAATGTGGTCAGTTTTCTAAATTTTTGGATCGTGGTGGATTAAAAATTCCAACTGATAATTCATGCCAATGGACATTTTTTTGTTTTGTAGTTTTTCAAATAGTTAAAGATCATGTATAACGAAAATCTTTAAGTAGTATTTTTATGATTATATCAGACTATTATTTATTGGATATGGAAGAACATCATTGTGTAATATTGAGCAACATTTTTTTAAAAAATTTATGTACCACTGTCACTCCAAGATCTGGCAAAGAACCTGCACTAAAGTTATTAAAAATCTCTTAAAAGTCTACTTAGTTGTCTACTGTTTATAATATATTCAGTATACTTTTTTATAAAAGATTTATAAAAGTTTCATATATTAGTTGTTGTTTTTTTCAGATTTTTTTAACAATTTTAATCAAAATTTATCTAATATTTTAACATATTTACTCAATATAAGAAAATATCAATTTTGTATTTAGCTGTTAAAGCCAAAACTAAAGGTGAAATAATATAATTATGTAAATGTGTGAAATTTGAGAAAATTTCTTTGCCTTTTATTTACATTGTTTATTACTTAATATTAATTTTCTTTTTTCATCAAAAAAAATTATTAGGCTATACAGAAAATTAACATTACTTTTTAGTTTTAAAATTACGAAGTTATTATCTTTTTTGCCGTAAAAAAGTAGGCCTCCACAAAAAAATCCGGTTGCGCGATGAATAGGCCTGTAGTAGAGAACGCTATGTTGCATACAAATCAAACAGAAAGAAATTTTCGTAGAAATTAAAAAAAAATTATCTATTTGCAATCATATCATTTTTCTTTTTTCGATTATTTTTAACCACCTATGGTTGAACTTACAGAACTCGAGTCAACCGTTATTGATAGTATCATCTATGGCTATGCATGTGTATCAATTATAGGGCATAGGGCTTAGAGATGCGGATGGGCATTACAGAGTATATAAAAGACAAAATTAATAAATAATTTATTTTTTGGCAGTTTTGGTTCCTTTTTTTGCAGGTTTTTTAGGACCTGCAACCTTTCTTTTATTGTTGACAACTTTATCTTTGGCTGCTGCCCTCCTTTCATGGGCTATAATAGCAGCTCGTTTTGTAACTAAAGCTAGAGGATTAAGTCGACCCATCACTTGAGCATTTCTCAGAGGGTTCTTTTTAATAACAGCTCTTCTAGCTTTAGGGAGAGCAGGTCTCACAACTGATTGAATTTCATCAGAATTAATAATTCGAGCAAGATCAGGCATTGTCATCTTGGCTCTTGGAAGACTAAATAATAAAATTTTAGCATGACTAAGTTAAACAATATTATAAAATATATATTTTTAGAAAAAATTCATAGAATTAAATGACAGACTTGTAAACAGTGCACCGCTATGAAATACTAATAATCCTGACCAAAGCTGTCCTAATTCTTACAGTCATTTAATAAATAAATATTTTGTTGTCAATCCCTAATGGTTGGTCAAGGCACATTTACATTTATTTCTACTCATTAATGATGATATATTAATGTAATTACACTTTAATCAAGTCAGTAAAATATCATTTACGATTACGTGTTTTAAACTTAAGGGGGTAAACCATTTATAAGTCTGCCACATAATTCTTACAACCTTTATTCTTTTCAACTATTGATTAATAAATTATAATAGTAACAACAGTTTTTCAGAGAATTGTAGTCATAAAAATCTTCATTATTTTCAGACTATTGTTTTCATCATTAAGCTGTTACTTGGATTGAAAGCTTTATACTAACTGGCTAATTAATGAAGTTTACACATTTAATGTTTATACCTGTAATTTACTTTTTCACTGGATGGTTTGCGCCAAGTGCCAAATATAGAATCTAGTCTCTCAAAAGCAGACTCTGACCAAATCACGAAACTTAAAATAAAGTTCAAAATGAACTTTAAGCCTAACTTAAAATATCCTTTTGAAATCATATGAAAAGTTTAACATTTCTATTAGAACAATCTTTTTGCTACTACTTACCGACCAAGATGACCACCAGGGCAAAGCTTTAGCAAATTAAGCCTGTCAACTTGAATCAAATCAACACCAGGCAAATTTCTAAACGCTTGTTTAATACCATGATCCTCTTTAAATACAACGAGAGGTCCACGTCGCATAGTATAACGACGATTACGCATTTTTCCCTAAAAAAAATTTCGATAAGACATTTTTAAAATTTTTTTAAACTAAGTAGTTAAACAATGAGATATTACACATTATTTTTACAAAAATTATAAATATCAACAACACTAATAGACTCAGATAAAAAAATAATCATTATTCATTGAGGGCAAGTTATATCATCATAGTCTATCAACAGAAATTATTTTGTATAAGATAAAGTCTTGTTTACAAATATATAACATATATACACACATTTATCGATAGATAAAATTAATCAGTATGATAAATGAATTATATATATAGCTTTATAACATTATAGCTAAAGCTTAATAACTTAGCTAAAATAAACATTAAATAAAACAAAACAAAAAAAATTTTTACAAAGTTTTTAAAAATTTTAGTAATTTAAGTTTTTAAAAATTAGGTACTCTTTTTTATCAAAACTATTTACTAAGTTTTGGAATTCAATAAACTTGATTAATTACTATAAGTATGTAAATTTGATTGAGATTAGAAATTAATTTAACTCATTGAAGATGAGTGAAATTAATTTGTTTTTTACACACAAAAAAACAAAAAAAATATAAAGGAGTTGTCAGGAAACTAGTCAAGACACTTAAATAGACATACTTATTATAGATAAAAAACCAGAAAACAAAGTTTAGTTAAAAATTTGGCACATTATCATAAGTTCATATCATAGTTACATAAGGCACATTATCAAGTTCATATCATAGTAACATTAGGCACATTATCATAAGTTCATATCATAAATTCATTATTATAGATTTATTTTTATGAAGCATGATTGTTAATGAATTTGAAAACAACAAGCATAAATTATAAATTTTCCATAAGTATAATAAAAACAAATAGCAACAGAAAATTTTGATTACCTTTCCAGCCCGTATTTTTTTCGAGTCTTGACATTTTTGTACGTCTTCATATGCATTAATTTTTTTTAAAAATTGTACTGCGGCTTTGGTTTTTGTTAAATTTTCGATGTTGTTACTACAAACAACAGGGACTTCAGTTAAATTTTCGATTTTGTGGCCACGTGCCATAACAAGTGCAGGGAGGGCAGTTGCTGCTAATGCAGAGCATACTGCATATCTTCTTTGATTTTGATTTACATGACGGTGCCATCTTCGCCATGTTTTTGTTGGGGCAAACATACGTCCACCACGACACATGTTTCCAAATGCACCTTGACCAGATCTATGTGTACCACCACCACGCACTCGAGGAATACGAGCTACAGCACGGCCTGTACCCCACGACGTAGCAGATGTTTGAGCACCAGCATGTTTATGAACTGAAAAAGCCTGGCGGCTGTTTTTCGACATGTTAGAATGCACAAAGTTAACTACATCGGGTCGGATGGGAGCTTTGAAAACTGCAGGCAATGGAATCTGTTTAAGTTTCTCGCCCTGATCAGAGAGAACGGTAACTAAAGGTCGCACCACAGCCTTAAAAATAAACAGTAAAAATCGATTATATACAAGGTAAAAGATTTTTTGAATTATTTACCAGATATAACTTTAATATTTGACAAAAAGTTCCCACCATTTTACGTCGCCACTTGCCACACTGCCAATTTAATAAAGAAAGACAAATTGCCAATTTGTATTATTTTAAACGCAGTCCCAGTCTTAGCCGACCCGAATATTTAAGTGCCATCATTTTCGTGATGTTCTTACTCTGTGCTAGTATAGTTTGTTTTGTTTTATATGCTGTTTTTCCCGTGTTTTTTCTATTCTCTCTACAGCAAATAAATATGCTTAAATTATTAAATTATTTTTCAATTTAAAGTTGTATAAGACCTAGGTAACATGCATGTCAGATTTATCTGTCAAAAATTAAATGATTGCCCAACACTTGAGATACTTCGACACAATGATGTTATTATTTATTATTTATTGAGCACTCTTGCTAAAGATATGCTTACAGAAAAATAAAGTTTAGTTATATACATATATATATATATATATATATATATATATATATATATATATATATATATATATATATATATATATATTATATATATATATGTATATATATATATATATATATATATATATATATATATATATATATATATATATATATATATATATATATATATATATATATATATATATATATATATATATATATATATATATATATATATATATATATATATATATATATAAATAGTTAATTATCATTACATATTTTATATATATATATATATATATATATATATATTTAAACAATTTTAAAATGTATTCTAGAAAATAGAGTGCTCAATGTTCTTAAGAGAACAGAGCAATTATAAAGTAGGTGAAAATCACTTAGCAAAATTTTTTTTTCATTTAACACTGTTTCATCAATAAAGTCTCATCAGAAATGCATTTCTAATAAGACTTTATTGATGAAAATTAATATATATATATATATATATATATATATATATATATATATATATATATATATATATATATATATATATATATATATAATATGTAATGATAATTAATAAATTTTTTTTCTGTGTACATCTTTTTTCTGTATGCGTAATCTATTTTCGGTATATATCTCCAGCAATCTTAGAGTCCTCAATGAATGATATCAGAGCTATATATTTTTATTTGATAAGATAAAGTAAATGAAAAAATACACTATATTTACTTCTAAAATTTTCATACCTTAGCAATCATCAGGTTACATAATGCTTTTTTTTTTTTGTTAGAAAATATATTCTTATCATATACAAGTGATGTGCAAAAACAATTATATATATTAATAAAGTATAAGCATTTTTTGAGACAGACTTTTCTAATTATCAACCAGGTTAAGTTAAAGGCTATTCTGAGGTTTTCTTTTCATATATAATAAAGTGATGTGAAAAATAATTATATATTTTCAATAGTGTATTATATTTTAAATTAAGATAAAATCCCCCCCAAAAAAAGCAAATCTTAAAAGAAATTTAATATATAATATGGTTCAATCATCCTCTAACAGTAAAATCATTTTAACCAATGTTAGACATCTTCCTAAATTAATAAACAAACATTTCTAATTAGAGCTGAAAATTCAGATGAATACCCACAATGCAATTGCATACATGAACATAACTACCCAATAAAAAAAATTATGAAAAATCTCAAATGTTATATAGTGTCAACCTCTAACACAAAAAGTATATATTCGTTTTTTAGAAAAAGAATATGAATACTAATAATTACTAATAATGAATACAAGAATAATAATAATAATCACGACAATAATAATAATAGTGACAGTAATACAAATAGCAGCAGTAGCAATATGTAATAAAAATAAAAATATTAATACTGTAATTATAATCAACGCTCAATAATAAAAAGTACGATAATAAAACTAATAATAAAATAATTTATAATATGTATAAGTAAAAAATATATAAGTAAAAAAAAGAAAAGGAAACGAATAAGCTAAAAAAGAAAAAAAAAAGTTTAAGTAAATACAATACAATTTCAAATATTAGCGCAAAAAATAATGCTTTTTAAACTTCTTTCCAACTTTAAACTTCTATCTTTCAAACTTTAAACTTCTTTCAGACTTTCTTTTAGACGTGATTTTTTTTTTCAAATGATTTTAAAAGTTAACAAAAAAAGTTCTTTAATACTTTTATACTATTTGTTTCTATATAGTATATATTTCGCCATTCAAATTCTTATCACTTTTTTAAATTTATATTATTGGCATTAATATTGAATACCTTAATCTTCAATTAAATTTATAAATTCTCTTTTTTATTCAAATAATTTACTGCTTTTTTCTTTTCTTT